TATGAATGTATGATTTATGTATTGCAGTTGGAAGTTCATTGTTGGAAGACTCAAGACCCGATTCAAGGTGATCCATTGACTGGTCTAGGTAATCCATTTTAATTCACTCAAAGTTTCATTTTGAGTTACACATCTTTTGTTCTTGACTTGCACATTTTTTGTCATTTTGATTTACACATCGTTTTTGTGAGACTTAGTTTGTCTTCAAAGATTGATTGCAAAGTTTTGTTCTTTCTTGATTTCCAGATTGCAAAGTTTTATTTGCTCTCAACTGCATGCTTTCTTTCTTAGTTTGATATTCAGAATGTGTTTTATAAGATGGGATAAATACTCATATTGTCTGAATAGTGTTGTTTCTAAATTCTTTTTAGATCACAAATTAACTCATGTTTTTGAAACAAAACAATGATAATTGGAACTTGGGTTTGATACCATGTATATATACAAAGGTGAGGCATACCCCCTTGTTTAGGTTTTGTTTTTGTACTTAAAAATGACTCAAATGCTCATTGCCCATTTGGAAGGCTTATGTTAAAAATTGTGTGTAGATACTTGATGCAATCAAAGACACAAAGAATTACTAGGGGACTTATATTTCTTCCATTTGGTCAGTGATAGCATCCTAATCTCTGATCATTCAATCAACCTGTTATGTAACATAATTTGCTTGCAATAAACCCATATTAATAATGCCTGCTATGGTTTGGATGGAAGTATGATCAAGTATTTGTATTTTTCTGTTATAAATAGTTCCTTCGTATGAACGTATGATTTATGTATTTGTATTTGCTCTGCAATTTTTTATAAATAGTCACTTTTCGCTTTTGATATTTGATTTATTCAATTTAATTTAGAGCCCTGCAATTTTCACGGATTCGTGTTTATGTATGCTTGGACGTATTTAAGTTTTTTTTTCCAATAGATTCATGCACTAAATTATATGATTTAGAATCARATTGATGTTTCTAGCAAAAGCTAGGAGAATAAGTCCCAAGTTGGTTARGGTGTTAGGAAATCAGGGGGTATATTACTGTAGTCTATAGGGAAAACTTGTTCTTTGTGAGTCTATAGTCCTTGACCCTTGGACATGTATTTATGGGATGATAGACATGCTAACTAACAGCTGCATGTGATTCCAGCCTTTTTGTCATCACCATTCTCTACTGCTTTCTTTGCTTGCAATCAATTACGAGGACTCAACCAAACAGACCTGTTTACAAACCTAATTTACATATATGCATTAAGGTTCCATATGGTTGTTCATAACCTGTTATATTAGCACAACCTGTTTACAAACCTGTTTCTGTTTCTGTTTACACTGCCTCATATTACCCAACCTTTTTTAAGTTTTTGAGTTTGTGTGGTATGTTATGATCATGGTTCCATTTGAGTTTGTTTCTGTTTACAAACCTGTTTTTGTTTCTATTTACACTACTTCATTTTGTTTTCATTGTTTCTGTCGTGAAGTGAGCAAGAAAAGGGTAGAATAGAGGTCAAGTACTGCAGCAAGTACTCATCCACGGGATCTGTGAAAAGAATCACCTGCAAAAAGCAAACCACACTTTCAAATGTAAGTAAATCCATTTTTCATGAACTTTGTTGTAGTTAATTTTAGTTTGTGGTTAATTGAATTTGTAAGGAATCTCCATTTTAACTTAAGTGTTGGAGATCTCCTAGCTGTCCTTTTTTAAATTCAAAATTTGTATCATGAAATGAAATGTGATTACAAATGTCGCTATTGTAGAAATGAAATGTGATTAGATTTTAAGATGGAGGAAACTTTTACCCCAAAATTTTTCCTTTTAAGCCTCTCAAAGAATGGGGATTTCTCAAGTTGTTCCTTGCTGCCGCCTCTTATCTGAATAGTAGTATTCTAAATGCAGATGGTTTTGTGATATGTTATAAGCATTTTTACCAATCTGCATGTGGCATTATGACCTGATGTATGTGACATCATTTCTGAAGCTTCCACGAGACTGAGTGAATGTTTGTTTTTCTTTTTTGTTTTCATTAAGCGCTGTGTGAATTAGACATTTATTTGGAATAAGGGTGAAATGAACAACTGTTAGGGATTGTTTACCAAACGTTTATCCGGGTAAGCGCTTACCAAGTCACATTACCTTACCGGATAAATTCGGTAAGTACTTACCGGGTAAATAAATAGTAGTGACAAATTTTACCGGTAAGCACTTACTGTGTAAGTATTTGGTAAACGTCCCTTTAGTTTATTTTTTGTGCTGATCGAACAATTTGAATTATAGAAAAAACCATTTTAATCTTCAATAAAACCATGTTGCCAAGGGCAAGGATCCAAAGATCACAAAAACATGCAAATGAAAAGATTATCTACATGCTCTGAAATCATACACAAGTCCAGATTGTTCTATTATTCCCAATTAGCATATATACAAATCTCCTTTTGTTAGTTGTAAACTTCGTTTGTGGTTTAGATTATGTTGCTTATAGAAGGCAGAAGCCGATTGAAACTTTGTCATCAAATGTGGATTAATAAGTTGCAGTTTTGCTAAGATGTCAAAGTTGTATTAGTCTTATTGGTTGTGGTTTATGTGTTTGTGTGTAACATGCATATGCTCGAATGGCAAAGGAAGCTACCGATGCTGCATCACAGACTAAAGACGGCGAGTTGCTGGGCCGCCTCATAAACACTTTACAACAGAATTCGGTAGCTTCATCCATTTTTGATACTCTCAAAGATCGACTATCCTTCCCGAGCATTTCTTAGCGTTCCTATGGGCTGCTATTTTCTTTCTTGTGGGTGATCACATCGTCGATATAATAAGTAGACTTGATGTAAAAAAATTGTTGTATAGACAAATTTAATGTAAGTTGAGAGCTTTGTCTTTGAGTGTGATTTTGAAAGTTTGGTGTTTCTAATTTATGTGTTTGGGGTTTGTAACTCATTTAACAGAAGGAATTGGTTTTAGATTTTATTCTGATTTCCTTGAAGAGTTCTTAGATTAAATTCTTGTGATACATTAAAGAGTTTGTATTGAGTGGAGTTGATGTTTGTTGCCTTTGATCTTGATTCCAACCAAGTTTTGAATTCGGACCGGGATCGATTACATTTTGACCGATTAAAGAGGGGTTGATTAAGGGTCACATATAACCGGTTGGTTCTTATCTATACCATCTTATAAACTA